AAATATAAATAATCATGCTTAATCACTCAAAATCACTCTGAACCCACAGCTAACTTTATTTCAACTTTAAAACACAATTTAGAAAAAAATTTGGCAGCTTTGACTTGACAGAGTTAATAAACTCAACGATTCACCTGATAGTCCATTTTACCAATGAAAGAGACAAATTGCAAGTACTTTATTTTGTAAAAGAGGAATTTTGGGTCACATATAAAATGTATTACGAGAATGAAGTATGCACTGGCTTGGCCCTTGCCCAAGATTTCGTGTGAACCGATCTTGCCTTTGGCAGCACTTCCCTGGTCCTTCAAGACCCTAAGTTTCTTGAGAGTAGGTCTGTGTTTGACAGCTGTAATCTTCCAGCCTGATGCCTTACTCCAGTACAAGATTAATAAGCATTTGTTATCGCACCTTCCAAATCTACATTTCCTATAATCCCCCATCCCCATTCCCTTTCATTTCTTCAATTCTTCTACTCTAAGCTTTCTATAAATGATAGGATTAAATGAGCAATCCTTTCTAGAGGTGTGCCATTTTAATAAGGAAAACACTCTCAAGCTAAAGAAATGAAATTATGTGGCATTTCAGAAGATAGTGGAATAAGTTCTCAGAGGCAAGATGATATTCCCTGGCTCCCTTTTAGACCTAGTAACATACCCATAGGGCATATGGTACCAGGAATGGTTCATGGTAGATTTTTCAATGGCTTAAATGTAGGATATAGTCTGTGATCCCCTGTTGCTTGCATTGCTTCCACGGAACAGTGCTGATTTCCTTTCTACTTCTCAACACAAAGTCCTTCCCCTGTCGCCAGTACAATGGAAAAAACACCTCCAAACACTGACATTGTCTACCTATTCTAGGCTTGGTCTTTTCTTTAAAAAAAAAAAAATAATTCCAAAGCAGTTTTCATATGGAGGCATTCTTTCCCCCACTGAATGGTTCTTAAACACACTGACACACAATATTTTCTATGCTATACAGATGGAAAGAATTTTTAAGTGGGATTGAAAGATAAAATTGGAGGGCATATGGGTGGTTCAGTGGGGTAAGCATCTGATTCTTGGTTTCAGCTCAGGTCATGATCTCTCCGTTCGTGGGATTGAGCCCCGTGTCAGGCTCCGCACTGACAGCATGGAGCCTGCTTGGGATTCTCTTTCTGCCTCTCTCTCTCTGTCTCAAAATAAATAAATAAACATAAAAAAGAGAGATAGAATTGGAAAAAAATCCACAATTGAGGATCTATCTTCTATAGAATTTTGAGGCTGACTTAATTTTTTAGACTACAGAAAATTTCTGCTCTGTAATTCCAATTCCATTTTTAATCACAGTACAATTAAAGCTCTTCATGCCATTTGATGAAAAACATAGATTTGTCTGATGAGTGTACCCAATTAAGAAAACTGTAGGATCTGTTCCCTTGATAGTGACATTATTGCTCAACAAATTTTATGTTTTATTGAATTGTGAGCAGATAATAAAGACACTAAATGGTGATACAATTTATATAAAGCCAAAGTGGATACCATTGCTTTTACTTCTTAGGATACATGTCATTTATAATAGAATTATCTCCTTGTTGTCCATTTTAATGAACAAAATAAAATAGAACATGATTCACAAATTCCATACATTTCAGGCTTGGAACATTTATTGTTTTACTTGGGAGTGATCTAGTCATATTTGAATATGGATTATGTCTTGCAGTTTGGGAAATCATTACTCTAACCAAATTAAAGTATTGTGACTGCACCCTGGAAGAATAGCCAAAAAGCTATTTAGCTTATTTGATCTCAGAGTGAATCTTTTAATACCTCATTCTGCTAAGCAGAAACCATCCCAGAATGATGTGAAGGATTAACCTTCACCAAGAGGCCCTGTCTCTCTGTTGAATAACTACCTGGTTTACCCACCCCAACCTTGAGGGAAAGGTTATAATCAAGTCAGAGATAATATGACTATGCCTATTCATCTTGATATTCATAGAGTTAATATAGTTCCTGGTTCATGCTAGGTGCTCTGTAAATGTTTGTTGAATGCAACAGAATGACCTTGAATATCTCAGACACATGATTCTTTACTAAGAATGTACATTAGAAACTCCTAAAATATTTTGAAAATACAGGAGGGAGATGAGGTCTGGTTATGTATATTTTGTAAGTGGCCCCCAGGTGATACAGATAAACAACCCTACTTATGAACCGCTGATCTAAGTGGTGATCAGTTTTATAAAATGTTATAATCAATGTCATCTGTATATATCCAATCATATCCGTGATATATTGGGGAAGACTGATGGTTTTCAGAATTTTTGTGAACTCTTGAGCCACTTGTCCTCCAAAGAATATCTTACCCTGAACCCAAATAAAATTGATCCTCATTATTGACAGATCCCATATTTGCAAATTTGCCTACTTGTTAAAATTTATTTGTAAGTCCAAAATCCATATTCTCAGTGCTTTCATGGCCATTTACAGATATTCACGGAGTAGCAAAAAGCACTGTCACCTGACATACACGTTCCCAGCTGAAGCTGAACACGGCAACACTCTGTCTTCTTATTTCATCTCTTATAGTGTAAATGCCCTTTTCATGGTCTATTTAAATGCCATGCTTTTCACACTTCGGTGCTTTTGTTGGGTGATTTCACTGTTTAAAATAGCCCCCAAGCATAGTGCCAAAGTGTTATCATATTCCTAAGCACAAGTCTGCTGTGACATACCTTACAGAAAAAAACATGTACGTTAGATGAGTTTCCCTCAGGCATACGTTCAATGTTAACAAATCAAAAATATGTATTAAATAAGGTATCTTTAAACAGAAACAGAAAACAAAGTTATATATTGATTGGTTGATGGAAATATTTTGACCAGAGGCTTATAGGAACCTAACCCTGTATTTCCCCTAGGAGCAATTGCTCAGTATTTGCCAAATCAGATTTTGTAGTGACTTTATAGAACATAACTAACTGTGAGTAATGAGAATTGACTGTATGTAAAACATGCAGCCAAAGCTGCTGTGGATGACACAGAACCACATCTTTGCACAGGGCTGTCATCTTCATCCTCTTTCTCTCCCTTCCTCCACAAGTGGGAGCCGCCAAAGCAGCTCCACTGGAATCTTGACCCAGGAGGGGTAGGGCTTTTTAAATAAGAGTAGTGAGTGTCAACTGAGTTTCTTATTTCACATATATCTTTGAGTGTCGTGTGCACATAGCAAGTATTTGCTTAGCAAATACAAACTAATATAAAATTAAATAGTTCCAATCAGGAAGGCATTCAGATGAAAGAAAAAAAATCCAGTGCCTTCCTAAGCCAAATATTAATTACTTTTGGATTACCTGATGTTTTGAATTTTCTGCATTACTGTTCCACTTTGGTCAGAATCAGAAGTTGCTTCTATCACTGAAAAGGCAGTATTTTGCCTTTTTGTGGACCCAGCTGGCTTTTCCCTATGTTCTATGAGTCCCAGAAGGACTGAGCACATTGGATTTCAGCAAATAAATTATTACTGCTCTGCATTAAATAGAAATGTGTAGTCCTAAGAAGGTTACTGCAGTACTGACAGCCATGCTATGGCTACCTTATTTAGTAAAAAAAAAAAAAAAAAAAAGAAGAAGAAGAAGAAGAAGGCCTGAAATTAGTCAGATTCAAAATGCAATATGTAAAGCAGAGCATTTGGTAAAATAATAATGCAAATAATCATCTCTAATGCCCCAAGTCTTAAATGCTAAATGTTGTTGTTGCCATCGTTGTTAAGAGTTAAGCAGCACTAAATACTCTAGGTATTTAGGTATCTAGGGTAGTGTTCCTCAACCAGGGGCATTTTGCTGTATTTGGTAATGTCTGGAGACATTTTTGATTTCACAAATGGGTGGGGGATGCTACTGGCATCTAGTGGACAGAGGTCAGGAATACTGCTATATACCCAACAATAGATAGGGCAGCACCCCACAACCAAAAATCATCCAGTCCAGAATATCTATAGTGCCAAGATGAGAATCTCTATTCTAAATGTGACTACAAAATAATTTAGGATATTCCGTTATGCAGTTGAAGCAGTGATTATTTATCTACAGACAACAGTATGTAGCTACTCTGATTCCCCCAGAGGTATGGCTCCTACATCTGCACTGAGTACTAAATAAGAATGCTATCCTAATCTCTGTGTGCCAAACGTTAGCATCCCAATATAGAAGCTAAGCCTCCCATTTGAAAACAAAATCACTCACATCAGTTGGGTTCAGCATAGCTCCTAGCTCATTTTTGAAAAATGTATCACTTAGTTCTCTCCTCTGTATTGCTAACGAGACATCACCAACAGATCAATGAACTTTAGGAGCATCATTAACAACTTCTGGGTTATTTGCCTCATTGGCCACAGAAAAAGGGCCATAAAAGTCACATGAAAAATCTTTGGATGCTCTCAAAAATCATGGGCCTCAGAAATATTGCAGGGAAGGGGCGCCTGGGTGGCTTAGTCGGTTAAGCGTCCGACTTTCGCTTAGGTCATGATCACGCGGTTCGTGGGTTCGAGCCCCGCGTCGGGCTCTGTGCTGACTGCCAGCTCAGAGCCTGGAGCCTGTTTCAGAGTCTGTGTCTCCCTCTCTCTCTGACCCTCCCCTGCTCACGCTGTCTCTCTCTCTCTCTCTTTCCTAGAAATAAATAAAACATTAAAAAAACATTAAAAAAAAAAAAAAGAAATATTGCAGGGAAATCAACCTGTCTAGTCTATATAAGTCACCAGAATGTAACAAGAAAAGAACATTTTGAGGACTAGACTTCCATTGCCCTGGATGGCTCTTTACCTGTAATACTACTGCTCTGCACACTATCATTCTGATTTGTGGGTATAGAGGGGGACGCATGTCCACAAATCCGTGGGAAGATGCCCACGCAGGCTAAATGCAAATACTTTGGCTCATTTTCGCATGTACTTTGTGTTCACTGTCAAACCATAGCCAGGGTCTTCCACTGACTTTCTCCATTTCTTTCTGACAGCTGAGCTGCAAGATTCTGCACTTCTTTCACCAGTACATGATGGCGTGCAACTATTTCTGGATGCTCTGTGAGGGAATCTACCTGCACACACTCATCGTGGTGGCTGTGTTCACTGAGGAGCAACACCTGCGTTGGTATTATCTCTTGGGCTGGGGTATGTACTTTTTCCAGTCACCTTCACTTCTGTCTGGGTATTTACAATCTTCTTCTAGTCTTGGTCTCAGAGAAGAGTCAGGGGCCTAGGTCTTTTGAGGAATGATGGGGCGCAGCTGGAGGCAGGAGTTCAGTCTCCTGGAGAGCTTAGTAGAAGCCCATCAACAAGTTGATATGGACTGTGACTGGCACAGAGGTCAGTGCAGAGAAGAAGGGGTATGATTATGTGTTTCTGTGGGAACAGACCTAGCGAACAGATGGACAAACACGCTCTGACTGAGAGAAGATCTGACTAGATCCTCCTTTCAGTTTTATTTATCACCTGTTTGTAGAGCAAAGGAGAGTCTCACATTTTGAATTCTGTGTCACCTCCATCCAGCTGCTGCCCCCCTTCTTCAAAAACATTCCTTCCTAGAAATCCATCAACAACTCCTCCAGTGAAAAGTCAGGGAGTAGAGCCCCACTGAAGAAGAAATAACTTCATGGGACTCCATATGGAGCCTACCTGACACCACAGTGCATGGCAATGACTTTGAAAAGCCTGTGGTTGGTTGCTTAAACCATGGCTGCTTCTGTACAGATTGACTTTGGGTGCTGAGGTCTAAAAGGCTACTCTAAAATTTCTCCCCTTCCCCAGGGATGCTAAGGTATGGCTCACTCTGGTGGAAGGGAACTAGATAGATAGTGAGGAAGGGAGAGGGAAAAAGCTTTGGGACAAAAACTCATGCAGCCCTATCACAAAAAGACATCCTGTGAACCTCCCAGACCAGAGGAGGATCCTAACCGTAGAGCCAAAAGCTTACCTTATTCTCCACTAACAGGGTAATGATGGCTCTTGGAGCAGGGGCTGTGAATTGCCCTCAATTAAACCTGCCCATTAATGCAGCATTTTGGGGGACCCCTAAAATATTGATAAGAGAGGAAAGATTTAATGAGGAGAGAAGATATTCCAAAGGCTTTCTTAAAACATCACTCTGTATTTAAACCCCCTACTCAGCAGGCACTGTCACCAATGTATGGAAATATGTCTGGGAAGTCATATAAGTGACCTAAAATCTCCACATCTACACCAGGGCTGGCCCTATGAAATATTTGTTTCTATAACACCCTCTCTAACAGGAGTATATGGACTTTAACAAAACACGTGACCCAAAACCAATAGAGTAAGTCTATAATGTTGAGTTAGTGCAGCAGATCTTTGGGCTGTCTCATTGTTGAGCTAATGATGCTTTGACACTGGTTGCAAGTAACACAGAATACAATTTTCTAATTTAAGCAAAAAGAGAGAAATTATCAGAATCTAGAGTATCTCATGGAAGTCAAGGGCTGAAACACAGCTCAGCTACTGAAAGACCAGGAAGACTCCCACTCTATCTTTTGTCTCGTTTTTTCCTAAGTTTATGTTCTAACCCTTCTATTTCTCTACAGAACATAGATCACAGGGTCTCTGCTCCCCTAATCCTCATGGTAAACAAATTTTCCTGAGCTCACATTTTTTTCTGTCCCAGGTACACAAAAGCACTAGGTAGATGTTCGTCTCTTAAGTCCCAATTGTGAATAGCAGGACAAGGGAATCTGATTGCTCCAGCTGAAGTTAGGGGGCCAGTCATGGTTCAATAAATCATGACCAAGGACTTTGAGAGGGATATCAATCACATAGTGCAGACATGTTTGTGGATGGATGACCCATCCAGAAAAAAAAATGGGAGAAGGGTCTCTGTGAACCAGACAGCCCATTTGAAATACAACTTAAACCGTCTCATCTTGTGGGCTGCTCCTTCATGCTCCCCTCATTCTGTGACTTAAATCATCCAGCGAGATTAGAAATCAGGCTTGTGACTATCCTGCCAGTCCCACATCAAGTGCTAGGTTCTCTTGCTCTTCCTTGTACTCGAAACAGGTCAGAATACAAAGGTCAAAATAGTCCTTTATTATTTTTTTTTCTTTTAGCTGCGTCTTTCCACAGGAGGCTGATCTTACCTTTCCCTGACAATCTCAGCCTCACATATACCTTGTCAGAGATTTCTAGTCCTCCAAAGCTGATCATACCAGAAATCAACTGGATATAGTTTAATGTCCCCAGTAGTAATTCTGACCATCACAATAGTAATGATTGGTGCTGGTCAGATGCCTTTCAACTGAAGACCTGAAGATAACATCACACTCCCAGCCTGCCTCCCTCTCTCTCTCTCTCTCTCTCTCTCTCTCTCACACACACACACACACACACACACACACACACACCATTTCTGTCTGATGTGTTTTACTTATTTCCAATGAAATAAAATATATGGCACATTTCTTGTACTGTTTTTGACTATTCAAAAACATCTATCTGCCATACTCAGAAAATTTTCCCTGGAAGCAAAAGAGTATAAATTTATTCTTGCCTGTGACATTCAGCAGAGATGAGGGCATTCTGGAAGGAACAATTTATAACTACTCCTTCCATACTGATGCATTGTGAATTAGTTATAAAACTTTTGACATCATCACAGAGAGTTCGATGAAGACATCTGCTTAACACGCATAAACAATTCAAGGGGAAAAAAGAACAAGCTGTTCAGCTGTATCAAAAAGAAGGCAATAAAAATAAGTAAAACATTCATGGAATACCTTAACCTTTGCTAATCAGAAAAAACTTAAAACTTTATCAGAATGATTGAAGTGGAATCCTAAGGAACACTGCACTCAGTAAGGTAAGCATAGAATCATAAATTTAAAAGCATGAGGATTTGCACTTCCCCTTAGATAGATGTTTGGAAAGACAGATAGTCAACCAATAAAGTTCTAAAATGCAATTATTTTTTTAGCATGGCAGACATAAATCTATCTTTCTTTCCCCCTACAAACACTCCCCCACACCCACACCCCCCAACACACACACACACACACACACACACTCCATAATCCCACTAAACTCTTTACCCTCTCTAAGAACAAAATTGAGAGCAACCATGGTGATGTATTTTAAAGCAACAGTTCTGTCTTAGAACTTTAGACAAGTATTATCTTTGGATGGGGGGAAAACAAGTAAAAGTGCAACTGAAATGACTTCTCAAAAAGAATAGTGTCACAGAATCTTTAAAGAATTTAACGGAGCAGAGAAGACATTTCTACTTGATATTACTTTTACTGTCTTTTTGAAATTATTTTCATTCCCAAACAGTATGATAGGTCCCAAATTTTACAATGCCATGAAATAAGGCATAACCTGTGCTTTGAAAGAGTATGAAAGTGGGACAGCAGTCCCACTGGGAAATCTGGCCCAAGAAAGATATGTCCTCAGACCTAACTCTGATTCCAGGTGACATACACCCCATCCATTCATTTCAGGTGTGAATAATATTACCCACTCCAGAATCTGGAGCAGATCCTAAAGACTATAAGAGATATTATGAACATCACCCTCTGGGAGAAAAGTACCTGGTAGTACAGTTCTTCCCAAGAGAAAGTGAAAGAATGCTTCTTTTGGTAGTTACCCCCTCACAAATCTGCACGGGGCCACTTACTAGTTGACTTCTCTCAAATCGAAGTAGCTTTAAATAGTGAAGTTTAGTTTTCAGAAAAGTCATTTATTTTACAACCCTCTTCCGATTGATTCATCGCCTTGCTGGTTCTCCTCTTGTTATAAATCAAAGAAGGAAATTCCCCCTGTGGACTTTTGCAATGAACACACAGAATTTATCTAGTTCCCTAGAAAAAGAATCCTAGAGAGAAAGGATTATTCTTACTCTCACCAACTTTAGTAGAAGGAAGTGTTGTTATAGCTCTTGGGGTCCTGGGGGGATGAGAGGAAGAGGAAAGAGAAAACAAACTGAATAAAAAGAGGCATTGGTGGCGAGAGCAAGACAAAGAGCACTAAGAATTGACAGATATGGGGTCTATGCTCCTCTGTATGGTAAGGAACACATTTTCCTCTCTACAAAACGATGTGGTGGAAATGAGATCTCAATATGCTTCTTCTGCTGTTTAATTCTAAAATGTAGGTTTCAGAATAAATCCAGAGAATGAATTTATTTCTAAAACCCAAGTGGGGAAATGGTATGTTAGAACTTCTGTTAATAAAACACAACTATGTTTTGTGTAAATAATCTAACTCAAAGTTCTCTCAGGTCAAGCATTTAATCAGTGGCCCTATTGAATTATATGCTTCATGGGTTAAGAAGCTGAGGGTGTTCTTAGATAAAAACATTCCGAGGCATTCTATTGGCATATAACTCGCAGAAAATAGAAGTGTGGCAGTCTAGGAGTGCCTGGATGGCTCTGTCAGTTCAGTGTCTGACCGGCTCAGGTCATGATCTCGCAGTTTGTGAGTTTAAGCCCCATATCTGACTCTGTGTTGATAGCTCAGAGCCTGGAGCCTGGTTTGGATTCTGTGTCTCCTCCTCTCTCTCTGCCCCTCCCCTGGTCACACTCCTGTCTGTCTGTCTCTGTCTGTCTGTCTGTCTCTCTCTAAAAAAGTAAATTTTTTTAAAAAAAATTGTAAAAAAGCGTGGAGGTCTAACTCACTTCTCAGATACATTTCTTAATCTGATGAAAATTTTAAATACTCTTTCCACATATATCCCAACCAAATCAAAGAATATTCTGTTGGGCAGGGATACCTCTGAGGGAAAACAAATTTTGTTTTATAAGAATCACAACTTCATTCTAGATTACACTGATAGAATGAAAAATTATTTTGAAAAGATGTTCCCTGACAGAATGCATTGCCAGTCAAGACCTCCATTGTTCCATTTATAATTTCAAAGTTGTTTTTTACCTAACCCTTCAAGTTTAGTCAGGGAAGTAGATACAAAGCTGTCTTAATAAAGGTTCTGCATCCAGAACGTACAGAGGGGTAGGTAATGCAGTATTGCTCTGAAGTATTCTTATGGAAAGAAAACAGGAACAGTGCATGAGATATAAATAGACAGAAATACAAGAAGCCTATAAGAAACACAATGAACATCATCAAGGCATTCAGAGTAATCAGGCGAATGCCCCTATAAGATGTCGCAGGTCACTTCCCTCCATGGTGACCCAACTCCTCTCTATAGCAGAATCCAGTTCACACACAGTGAAAAGATTTCTGGTCTCAGCTAATAGTCGTCATCATCAGCATCAGCATCATCAGCATCACAGACAACAATGGTATAATCATCATAATGAGAGTAATAATGTACCTACCATCTTGGATAATTTGTACAAGGTTTTTAATTACCTAGAAATGCTCTTAACCAAATTCTGAAAGCACATGATGTTCAAACCAAGAACATTTTTATCTGGTTTGACCAACAATACTTTGTGCAAAAACATCAGGGAAATATTTTGATAGAGACATTAAAATTTGCCACTGTTTTTGAAAATAATCTACCATTTTCTGTGTAACCCTACTTGTAGCTTATGACAAGATGCTAGGTGTGATCTCTACTTTTTCACATTTTTAGGGTTCCCGCTGGTGCCGACCACTATCCATGCTATTACTCGGGCGCTGTACTTCAATGACAAGTAAGTATTTTGGTGGTTTTTAAGTGAACATATTTGTAAATAAAATGCATTTATATTCATGTATTGCCTCCTTTTTTTTTTTTTTTTTTAGCTGCTGGCTGAGTGTGGAAACCCATTTGCTTTACATCATCCATGGCCCCGTGATGGCAGCACTGGTGGTGAGAATTGCTTTTTATTTATTTTGTTATTGTCATTGAGAATTGCTTTTTAAATTCATTAAGTGTTACCTCTTTGAGAGGATTTCTGTAGAGATGGATCTGTGTAGCATGTGTATTCAAACTTCAAAATTAGGCTAATTTAATTATAACCCATAATGAGATCATCTATAACAATTTTACGTGAAGATCTTCAAATGAAAAAAAAATGTTTAACACAACTGGGGAAAGGGCATAAGTTCATTTCTACACCTACCATAAGAAAAATACAGTTTTCATTAAATAATGCTATAACTAAATGCTTCTAATTAAAAGTAAAAATCAAGGGTTTGAGGAATGGTAAAGAAAAAAAGTGTTTCTGCAAAGAAAGTAAAAATCCACAGAATCCATCTGCACCTCTTCCCCTGGTCTCTGCCAAACAAAACCATCTTCATTTCATCTTTGGTACATGAGCCATCATTGGAACTCCCTCTCAGCATGTACTTAAAGTATTTCAAGCACTTCTCATACACTGCCATGCTGTTTCTAACAGCAACCCTTCAAAGTAGATATATCAGGACTAGTTTTACTCAGTAGGAAAACTAGACCCAACGATTCAAGTAAACTCACCCCAAATCACATAGCTAGTAAGAAGTTGGGATAAGGGAAAATATGACCACCTGCATCTATTTCCAACCTCTTTGTTTCTACTCAGTGTTTACTATATGGTGGCCAGCATCAGAACCATCAAATTTAGTATTTAGACATTAATTTTCCCACCAACCTCAAAGACAATATTTTCTTGGGATAGGAATGAGAAAAATAAAAATAGTCTGAGTTACACACCATGTTCTGCTCCCATACTGAACAAGTATTCATTAGTAACCAGTCTCTCCAGTCCAAAGCCAATTTCTTCTGCCCCTCCCCAGAGTAGCGACGTACTTACCAGCCTGACAGTCCTCACAAAGGTCCACCAATCTAGGTCTTGAATATTTCCAACACCTCCTAAGAGTTTATTTATTAATAATGGTCTCTCTCCTTTATTGAATTTTTGGGGGCAATCGTGTTACTTCTCTTCAAGGTTGAAGACTCATTCTAATCATTTAAAAATAAATAAATTTTAAAAACAACTTTGGTTTCAAAACTAATCATCACAGCCAAAAGTAGTTTGGCAACCACTAGAATGACTAATATTGAAAAGAGTGACCATACCAAGTGTTGACAAGGGTGGAGAACATCTGAAATTCTCATCTAGTACTGAAGGGAACAAATAATGAAGCCACCTCTTTGAAAAACAGTTTGGCAGTTTCTTATAAAGTTAAATACAGGCTTATCATATCAACAGGCAGTTCTCCTCCTGGGTACTTGTTCAAGAGAAATGAAAACGTATGTCCACACAAAGACTTGTATGCAAATGTTCATAGCATGTTTATTCATAATAGTCAAATTGTGGAAACTGTGCCAATTTCCATCAACAGTAGAATGAATAAACAGTTACGTGTATTACCCATATAACAGAGTACTCCTCAGCAATAAAAATGAATGGAATGTTAATATATCCACTATGGATGACTCTCACAGAGATTATGTCAAAGCAAAGAAGCCAGGCACAAAAACAAGCACATACTATATAATACTCCATTTCTATGGTAATAGACGTGAGTGGTTGCTTGAGGTGGAGGGGAGGGGGTTGCTGACCACAAAGGAACAGGAGAGAACTTTCTGGGGTGATGAAAATGCTCTTTTCTTAATTGGAGTGATTGTTACACAAGTGCACACCTTTCTCTAAACTTCTTGAATGGAAACTTAAATCTTCATTTTACTGAATGTGCATTATACCTCAATGAAGTGATTGTCTCTAAAAAAGATGTTATGAAAAAGAAAAGAAGGCTAGGTTAGCTGTCTCCACTACATATACTTTACAGATAAATGTTTCGGTCCCCATTTCACCGCTGGTTAAGTAGTCCTGCCTAAAGAAAAAATCTTCGCAATGCAATAACCAGAAAGCAAGATCGAAAAGTGTCATCTATGATGCTCCTTTGTAAAAATTATGAAAATCAAAATAAAAAATAAACTTCCCTCATTAGAATTGAACCTAATATATTTACATATGCAGGAATAATATTTTCTCATTTGGAAAAAAAAAAAAAAGAAATGTTAATTCATGTCTGAAATGGTCTTTGCTTATACTGATGCTCCCAGCAATGCTGAGCAAATCACACCATGTCACAAGCTATCTCTCATGTCCTGCAGAGGTGACATCTGCTCCCAGGAATAGATAAACAAGAAGCGAAGAAAGGGGCACCCTTCAGTAGTACTGACATAGATGATTTGCTCATAACATCGTATCTTTGCAGGTCAATTTCTTCTTCCTGCTCAACATCGTCCGGGTGCTTGTGAGCAAACTGAGGGAAACCCAAGAGGCGGAATCGCACATGTACCTGAAGGCTGTGAGGGCCACTCTGATCCTGGTGCCCCTGCTGGGAATCCAGTTTGTCGTCTTTCCCTGGAGGCCATCCAACAAGATGCTTGGGAAGATCTATGATTATCTGATGCACTCTCTGATTCATTTCCAGGTAAAGAAACCAATGGTATATTTATTCAATTACTTGCTCAGCTAGTTGACATAGGGTGAACCATTTTCTAGGCCTCATAGATGATTAGAAGACCTTTTCAAATATATGTAACCTGGAACGGATACAGCTTCTCTCTTTCTCACTGCCTGTTTCCTCTTTTCTTGAATCTCAAAACTGAAGAAGGAAATGGGGAGTATGAGCTTTATGAAAGCATCTTCCTAAGGACAGATGTTTGTCCAGGGATGGACCCACTGCACAGTACTGAGGACAGAGCTTCTATTCCCACCATCCTTTCAACCTTTCCTTCCCCCTCTCCAGTATTTTGAGGGCCACATTTGTTTTTCTTTCATTAAAAGTTTTGAATATCAACATCACCAATGCCAATCAGTTTCCCAACCTGGATTATTATCATCATAGTCACCAATGCCATGAAAACAGAGGATAGAGAAGCACATGCTTCTATCAGTATGAAATGCCTCCACTGGACCCCAAGCTGGAAGCTATATCCCTTTTAAACTGGAATATTCTTGTAATGAAACACTGAATATGAGTGCTAGTAATTGCTTTTCTCAAACCTTGACTTGCTATTGTGATAGTGAAATTTTCTTCTCCAGGCTATTTCTATTGATTCCTATATAACATAATGCACACAAAAATAACTTCAACTCTATTTTCCTCCTTTTTTAGGGATTCTTCGTTGCCGTGATTTACTGCTTCTGCAACAACGAGGTAAGCATTTCACATAATACCATCACTCATTTATATAAAGCTAGCACTTTACAGTTCCCAAAGAGCACAATTCATTTGCTCTCACTTCTACAGTTGACCTCACAGGGTTTCATGACTTGCAGGATCATGTTTCTTCCACTACTTGAAGCTCGCTCTCATCTATGTTGCTATGGTACAATTGCAGATACTATCCAGACAGGCAGCTACATTCTGATTTCCTTGGATGGCACCTTAAGTTAGTCAGTACCTTGAGCAGCAGTAGTGAAAGCTATTCTGGATTCCCATAGTAGAAGTCATGCTCCCATTCCTTTGGAAAACCCAAGTCCTCATTGGAGCAAAACCAATATCCAGCCAATTTGTCCTGCTTCATCACTTTTTTTTTCCCCATTGCTTAGTGCTGGTATCATATCACTTATTCAACATTTTGAAAACAGCCCTGAAGTTAAGACTCAAAAAGTATTCTTGAATAAGTAACTTATTATCTAAATATTTAGATCAGTAAAATCTAGAGATCCATATGGCCACTGTTTTCAGGGGAGGTTTAGTCAGAGTTCCCTTTCTTCCAATGAAATCTTGCCTAGGACCCCAACTGTAAAGCATAAAAATGGTGCTGCTCATTGTCACTGGAAATGCAAACTTGTGGAGCCACTGTGGAAAACAGTATGGTGGCTCCTTAGAAAATTAAAAATAGAAATATCATGCAATCCAGTAATTCTACTACTAGCTATTAACCCAAAGAAAATGAAAACACTAATTCAAAGAGATAAGTACACCCCTAAGTTATAGCAGCATTAATTACAATAGCCAAGATATGGAAGCAGCCCAAGAATCCACTGATGGATGAATGGATAAAGAACATCTGGTATATACATACAATGGAATATTACTCAGCCATAAAAAAGAATGAAATCTTGCAACACATGTTAATTTTACTTGAATTAAAAAAAAAAAAAGTGGAGCTGCTTAAATTTGTACCACAGAGTATCCAGGGCTTCAAGAAACATGGTTTGTAAGCGCCCTCATTTTTCAGGTGAGAAATCTACACTCCAGGAAGAACATGTGACTTGCACAGTGTCACAGTCATAACTGTATAACCAGACTAGAACCCAAATTTTCTGATTCCTAGTTAAATGAATTGCATCTTCCACTGTTCTGTACTAGGTCTTTTTTAAAAAAAAAAAAAAAAAAAAAAAGCTTGTAGCATTTATTTGGGAGTTGGAGTCTAATTTCTAAATACCACCTGTTTGTTTTCATATTTTCGTTGCTCTGTAATATGTCTATGATTCCCCCCTGGAGCTTTGTTGGTATACGTTCTCTAGTTATATACCACATGAATTTTAATATACAATTATTTTTTATAATTTTACATCGACTCCTATTAAGAATAATTCTATACCAAGGCAAGTCACATTTTATTAAGAGAGCAATAAAAATATTTTTCTATTAGTAATGAGAATGGTTTTCTAAACATAATCAATTAATATTTAATTGAGTCTCCATTCTTTATTTCTTCAGTTCAACAGGGAGCACCTATAATATTTTGCCACCTGTGACCTATAATTTATCTCCACCCTCAACATTGCAGTGTGGGATTTTTGTCATTCTCATTCTCCTTTTTAATTGGTATATTTTGTTCCTCCCTTCATTTATAAACTCATTCCTTAATTCAACAAAAATATATTATGTATTCACTATTGCTGGGGCGAGACTGAAGGCCTGGGATAGAAATGAAAAAGATATCTTTTTGCTGCCAGCTGTCAAACTGTCTCTTTGTTTTTCTTTTTGTTTTGTTGTTGTTGTTGTTGTTGTTCTTTGAAGAATAGCAAAAACTAATTAAAAAAATAAATAGGACTTAGGTCACCTCATCTTTATATCAGTTTCTATGAACATACGTCTCTGTCTTTTGAGTTGTAACAGGTGCCATACAAAATAAATTTTCCCATCTAGAGCAATATCCGTATAGGGCTAATATAAAAATCAGGTTCAGAATGGGGCACGCCTTGAAAACCCGAGAGGATTGTATGTGTTTGTAAAATACCTCAGTGCTTACTGTGTTTTAACCATAATGGGGTCTTTGGGAGTGTGAGGCAAAGAAAGCGAGCCAAGGGATGCTTCTGAACAACTGAATGTTTCTAGTTCATTTGAGTATGTTATCTCTGCTTTTTGAAGTAAAGAAACCGTCTCCATTTTAATTAAGATTCTCTTACCAGAAGAAGCTACAAGTGTGACATTTCTAATAAGATAGAATTGCTTACTGTGTCAAATGTAATATCACAGCCCCATGAATTTTAGGCTTGTGGATCTCAACGAGGCCCTTTGTGAACAGACAGTCTTACAACATGAAACACAGGCAGGGAACTCGAACATGCAGGAAATTCTTGCAGCTGCATCTGAGAGTTGGGATTGGGCTTTGCCTGGCAGAATGTTGAGTTTTAGCAGAGATCTCGGGGGTTAATATGTCAGTTAGACCATGCAGATTGAGGTTTTCATTTCTGTATTTTTATCTGTATGTTATCAATGATCCCTGTTATGCAAATGGATCAGATAGGATGAATAGACTAGAAACAGGGAAGGAATTTGGAGAGTTACAGTCGTAGGAATCAGGAGGTGACCATGAGAGTGTGCTTATGGATCAAATGGTTCCTACAAGTCTTCCAAGAATGTGGGATTGACCACTCTATTTCAGTAAATTATTAACTGTCTAAGGGACCTCTAAATGATCACAGCTATAAAGATACCCAAATGTTTCCAAGCTGCAACTTAAAAATTCAGAGAGCACTAACAAGGCAGTGAATGTTCTTCCTTTTTCATGTTTCTTGCTATTGTCCATGCATTGTGCCTAAAATAGTTTGTAGATCAAAACAGCATGATCAGGAGAATCTCAGTTTAACAGTAACAGATTGGAGTGTGTGGAAACTGGCATTATCCTGGCACCTGGGTTGAAACTCATGGTGGCTCCTCCCACTTCTGAGAACCGTACAGATCATTTTACTCCTACTCCAAAGTCTCCTTGACCAGGCCCTACTCCTGTTCTGATCATACCATTTCTCTGAGGAGACTGGGAAGTCAGCCTCCTTTCTTCACACTGAGAAAGGCCTGTGAATCTGTCTTCAGGAATGTCACAGTCACTGCTCAGGCACCAAGTTAGACATGGTACCAGGCCAAATGTGGGACTTCTTTACAGGGCTATCAATTTCTAGAACTGTGCCCTCAGAATCATAAGAGCAAGATTTATTACACTGGGGTGTTACTGTTATTCCTGCTTTCCTTCTTCTCCCCATTTCTCCAGGCATTTCCCCCATGAAGGGGAAATGAAAGGTCATTTTGTGTCTCTGTATTTCTCTCTTCTCTTCCTCTGGGGCTTAGAAGGGTTTTGTGGTCCTCCTTCCCTTTCTTGTCTGCAAGGGACTCTTCCTATGTCACATCCTGTGTGTTCTCTGTACTATGGCTTTAGTAAAATTCTGTTTTCAGAGCAGTAAGGCTTTCACTTCATATGCAAAGATAAGCTTTTCTATTTAGAAATTTACTCCCATGGGGCACCTGGGTGGCTCAGTCAGTTAAACGACCGACTTTGGCTCAGGTCATGATCTCACGGTTCATGGGTTCGAGCCCTGTGTCGGCCTCTGTGCTGACTGCCAGCTCAGAGCCTGGAGCCTGTTTCAGAGTCTGTATCTCCCTCTCTCTCTGACCCTCCTCTGCTCAGGCTGTCTCTCTGTCTTTCTCTCTCTGTCTCTCTCTCTCTTTTAATGAATGAGGGAGTTGCAGGGAAATGTTATTTAAGAAACACAATAGTTACATATTTTCAAAAATATTAACCTTATTATAGATGATATTCATTTATTGTCTTCTAGAATGGAAAGCTTCCCCAAACATAGGAGAATAGGTAGGAAAAGGGAATTAGAAAACTTGATCTTATCATGTTGCAGTACCCAATTACCTCAAACTGTAGAACATGTAAATTCTGTAAGATAAAGACCAGTAAAGATAATGTTCCCAAAGGATGGAAAGAAATGTCACTGGCAACTTTATGAATAATATTCAGAAGTTCCCCCTCAGCATCTAATCAAGAGGGTTAAATAGAGATCCAGCTTCAAAAAGTCATAAAAAAGCATTGAAGGCATCCAGCTACTTTTTAACTTCCCAGTGGATTTAAAGTGTTTTTAAAACTCATGATTTTTTTAATCTTAAATTTAGATGGCAGTAGGTCTATTCAGTTGTGGCATCAGTAGGGGAAGATATGAGGGAGCAAGTCTGAAAATCTTTTCATTCTTTGAATCAAAACTCCCAGGGATAAACCCCACCTTCCATTCAACAGTACATAACTGCTGGTGCTTATACTGAATTTAAGGAAAACAATGGCCAAAGATAAAAGCATTTAAGTCCAACCACAAAGATTCCAACCTGATTTTCTTTTTCATAAATGTAGAAACTGAGGCCCAAGTGTACCAGCCTTATACAGATGGTTAACAATAGAGCCAGGTGCAAAAATATCTTCAAACCATCAGTCCAGGGCTCTATTTTTAAAGGTAGCAATAAATAAATTGATATAATTAGGGAAAACGTAAAGTGATCTGTGTTAATTATTTTTATAATGAGTAATGAATTTATACAATTCAAACTTTATATATTTATCCCATTGGCCTCTCCTAACATTTCTGATGCTTTTCAGAAGCAATGAAGTCTCTCTGGTTTGTTTTTTTTTTTCCAAACAGATTCAATGCTCTTATTCTTGTGATCAAAGCAGCATCAATCCTAACCTGTGGTATTGTAGGAGATAATTGCCCTATTAAACTATAATTATTCAAGTGTCTTTTACATCCTGCTAAGGGTCTATTCTTATACATGTGGTTTACAAATTGAAGTGGATTGTTATCTTCACACAAAAGAATAGGTTTATAATTCAGGAATGCAATTATAGAAGGCTATGAACATTTCTGTAATAATAATATTAAAAACATGAAATAGGTCTCAAACCCTTTGGCCTCATGTTGGGCAGGGTGCTTCATTAACATGCATGGGTACTCCAATGGAGATTATTTTAAAAGAACAGGTGAGGAGAAAAAAAGACTTTTATGTGTTTGTGTGTGTGTGTGCTAGACACTTTTATAAACTCACTCTAAACTTACACTAAACTTGCCTTGGATACCTCTAAATATCTGTGTAAGTTTTAGCTATAAAGACAGTGTTGGTATTTGAGAGATGCTGAATCCATAGAAACTATCATTTCCCTTTGTCTGGGGACATTACTTCTCCAAAAATATGTTGAAACAATATATTTCCTAATTCCTCAACAGGGCATTTGATGGTTCCTAGATTACAAACTTGGCATTTAAAGCACTTAAGTACCTACACTGAATAGACAATACAACCCAAATAATGCCACTTCTTGGCTTGTCCCAACAGAAAAACACATTGCAAAGAAATCCATGAAGAAGCAAACCTGGGTGGTAGAGCACTCTGTCAACACTTAGTTTAGAACGTATGATATCAGAAACTATCTGTATCTGTGTGTAATTAGAGCTTATTTTTATTTTCTTAGCACCACCACCCTCCAACACACACACACACACACACACGAGTTTCCTTTTAGTCTAAAGACTTGAGGTCAACATCCTGCCATAATAATAGTATAGTAATAGCAATAATAACAGTAACCTCCCTGTATGACACTTAAAAACTTAGACGCCACTTTAAATACATACTGTAACAATTTAATCCTGCAAACAGCTCAGTGAGGTAGAAGAGTTGCATTGAAGAAAGGAGTCTCAGAGACTTTAACTACCCTACCCAAGATTACAAGGCTAATGTGGGCAGAGGCAGTGCCTGACCCAAAGTTTGATCCTTTCTTTCATGGGATTGAATGAGATCCAGTGAAATGATACTATAGGTGAAAAATAATGGAAAGGTGGTATGATATTACCCATAGACAATCTTTCTTTCCTGCCCAGCTGGTTGCTGGTTTAAGATAATAAATGTTTGCTTCTGATCATTTCCAAAAGTAGCAACTCATTGGAGCTCAAGAACAGCTCCCAAAAGCATATACCATGGCATGAGAGAAGATCCAGTAACAGTTATACATGATCTAACATACAATGCCTTACAGTTCACCTCAGGAAGGAATTCAAGTTCTCAAAAAGCAGTGATTCTGGGTCTTATATCAAAACCCAGTATTTCATATTTGCATGAAGGAGAATTTCAATTTCTTATTAGATTTGCTCTAGATGTTTTCAGCTCCTCTCCTACCCCGGTACCACTGAACACCAATGCACTAATTATAATATAGTCATTAGTGATCATTTTCTTGGCTAAAAGAGAATGGATGTTGACAATCAGTCAACTAGTATCTGTTGAATAACTGCTATATGCCAAACAGCATGACAGGTTCTGGGAATATGAAAATGAACAAGACAAGGGTCCTGCTTTTAAGGATTTCACTGTATAGGAGAGACATACCAAGCATTATAATATAAAGTAGCAAGACCTGTAATGAATGGAGAATAAGTGCAACAAGAGCACAGAAGAGAGATTCCTAACTCTGTATTAAGGGGTCAAGAAAAGTTTCTGGGGAAATAGAATTGAGTCCTGAAAAACAAGTTTTGGTGTTAGTGAAGAGTAGGGGAGGGGCATTCCAGTCAGAGGGGAACACAGGGCTTCTTCCCCTGATGGGAAGAAGCCATAGCTGGTGGAGAGAGACCAGCAGTTTGTTAATATTGGAGAATTAGGGTCAAGGCAATAAGTGTCTTAAAACCACTTTGGCAGAGAGATGAGCCAACTCAGGCAAAAGCAGTAGAATGATGGATGGGAATTTTCCACTTCTGCCTAACGGCAGTTCTGTTCCTGGTGTCTGAGTGCTCTTACAGGACCCGGATCCCTTCTATCTGTGCCTGGCCGAGTGACTGAAATGGGGGCATTTTTGGTAAATACCTAAAGGACAAACCCATCAGGCCAAGATTTCAGGTTACCTAGGGAGTGGACTGAATTCCTTCTGAAAAGAATAACCCTGACCAAGTTTAGTCCATCTGGAGCATGTCTCCCTACTGCTATTTAGAATGGCAGTAGCTGAGTGTAGAAAACTATTGTGTAAAGGAGTATATCATTTCAATTAGAAAAAATAAGCAGACCCAATCTTTCAGGCTTTGTCATCTCTTTGTGTCTTGACCTCTAGACAGAAATGTCTCAGAGGGTTAACAAACTAGTCAATGCTCAGTTATTCAGCACTGTCCTAATTGCTATTCTTCTTTACTGTTCTGTTCTTCCTTACCTGTACCTCTTCCATGGCTCCCATCCATTTTCTATGTATATATTACAGCTGACATTTATACCTCTTCTACTGATGTGCTCACAAAGCCATAGGAGGCAAAACACTTACATGAATCAATTTTCAACCAGTAAATAACCTTAATAAAGAGGTAGGCCAGATACGAGACTGAAAGTGCTAGATAATATTAAGAGAGACACTTAGCTCTCTCAAATCTAGCCACATTGACTGGGAAATCCTTGGAGGTGGTGGGTGGAAGAGGGGAGTCAACATGGGGACAGAATAGGAGACAACGTAGGCAATTACGGCTGCTATGCACCAGCACCATACTCGTGATTTAAAACCCAGTAAACCTTATTCATAACTCTGAATTAGTGTCATGATCTCCTTTTTACAAAGTTTTTTTTAAGGAAAAAAAACATGGAGCAAACAAACTGGAACTCAAACCCAAAGAGCACAGTCTTTGGAGCATATGTGTAAACACTTAATGCTAGGAGATAACAGGAAAGATTAATTTGACTACTAAATTGAATTCAGTTTTGTAGAAAGCAGAGCTAGGAAAGCAACATCACTGCCCGTGTTGTTTTCAGCTATGCTTATTGTGGTTTTCATATTTAGAGCTTCCTGACTTTAGCATCTTCTCCTTTTGTGCTCAATACAGAGTTTATCATATTTATAAAGTATATTTGATAAGCTTATTTACATATTAGAAGTTTTTCAATAGTAATAAACTATTTGTGAAAAAAAAAAGTTTTTCAATAGAAAGAGATTGAAATTTTATTCTTATAAGCTTTCACTCCATTAACCAGAGTTTTTACCTGGCATGTCTATCTCAAGCCATGGATGGCCATTATCATAAAACCCAGAACAGTGCGATGGTTTCCATCATAACCAATAATGTGTAGGTTTAGATGAAAGCTTTTGCCTTATCAGAGGTGGTAGCAGATAAAAACTTTCGTAAATTTTTCCCCCTGATATGCCATGTATACCATATTGGGTATGAAACCAAGTCAAATTTCATTGATTGGATAGAACAGCTAAAGAAGAGACTTTTGCTCAAAAGAGCAAATGACCTTGCCAGTGGTAGCTTAGGCAAGCAACTCACTTCTCCCATTTGTAAATTCTTCTCTGGAGATGGTACGTTCCCCAATCAGAGCATATCCTGCATGGGTCCTTAGGATCAGAATTAACAATTCGATCTCCTTTAACCTCTGATGAGCTCCTAGAATTGTGCTCATTCATAAACTTAGCTCAGGTCAATCATGACAGTTATGCGAAAACAAGGTCGTCTTTTCTCTTCCAGGTCCAAACCACCGTGAAGCGCCACTGGGCTCAATTCAAAACCCAGTGGGATCAGCGCTGGGGGAGGAGGAACCCCCGCCGCGCCGCAGCCAGCGCTGCAGCCGCTGCTGCAGCCGCTGCCGCTGCCGCAGCTGAAGCCGGTGAGATCCCGGTTTACATCTGCCATCAGGACCTGAGGAACGAAGCCGCCAACAACCTGGGCGAGGAGGGTGCTGAGGTCATCGCCTTGGAGATCATCGAGCAAGAGTCATCCGCTTGAATGTGAAGCTAACATCGTGATCCCTGAGCCTTCATTTCCTGGGAGACAGACAGACCATGCGTTTAAAAGTGATCCCCATCCTCCCAGGAGCTGAGCATATCATTTGTGAAGAATTATTAAGTGAATTTGTCCATAGTAAATCTGGAGAAAGTTATCCTTGGTACTATTGCTGTGGGAGACAGTCTAGGGATGGGGTCTCCCACTGCATCCCTTGTGAACTCCATCTTTCACCTAGGACTGAGATGCAGATGTCATAGTAATGCAAGCAAAGTATCCAAGAAAAACACAATTAAATTGACCTAGTTCAGAAACAGGGTGCTCCTTGTTAATCTTGAGCCATTTATAACTTTGAAAAATTAAAATCACGGTCACTATTTTTCTTTTTAACTCTAGACTTTGAATTAGAATATTTCTGTATTTGGCTATGGATCTGATTTTTAATTTTTTTATTTCAACCAATTCTGATGTTACTCAGATGTTTTACCATCCACACAAAGTAAACCGCACAAATTACATGACCTCTGCAAGACCAAGTGGCTTTCTAATATAGAGATGACTAAGAATGTGGAGGGACAGACTTGCATGTGGCAGGAAGGTGCAATGCTTTGAATGAAAAGGAAGTTTAGAGTCAATTTGCTCAAAATATTAGATGGGCCAATTTGTTTATTGGTTTATTAATATTGTACACTCAGTTTCATTTTGGATAATCTTGTCCGCCGAACAGGCCTAACTGCTGAAGGAACTGGCCTACATGTTGAATATGCTTTGGTCGCTGACATGTATACACTGGGAGGTCACAAAGAATCCATCACTAAATTTTTCACAAAACTGCCAAAAATATAATTTCTAGTGGAAGAGAATATTCTCTTTAAAGAGAGTTTTCCACTCTCCTAAGCTCCAGGATTTATAAAGCAAATCACTCTAAGGTTTATAAAGCAGATTACCTCTTGCCCTTGGGTGCTATCTAGCAGTAAAAGATAAATTTGTTTAAGACTGGTAATTAAAAGACTCCATATAAATCCATTAACTGCCTTCCACCCAGCTTCAAAGCTTAACAAGATCCCCGTCTTTTCCGGGAAGATTCAGTAGGGCTAATTAGAAATCAGTTTGTAGTTGACCTCTTGTTTGCTGCTATTAGCAAAACAGGAGGAAGAAAAGTAACTGCTACAAGTTTGACCATCTACCAGTTCATTTAAAATGAAAGTAGAGGTTCTTCGGAAAACCAAATGTTATATTCCCACATCTCTCTTCACTTTCTCAGTATAAAATCCTTATAAATCCCTGAAGAAACCAGTTATCGTTACTGGCACCTGAAATTCATTTGTGAATTTGCAACAGTAATCCAAGTCACCATCATTTAGTTTTGTGTTAAATGAAGAGATCCACTGAAACCCTCCAAAACTCAAGTCTCATCTGTCATTGATGCCAATGCTTTTCAGAGGTGATCTAGTTGTGGGTAAACAAAAAGTTGATTTGTTCTGGTTACATATTTAGTGCACCCGAAGAAAATTATATTCTTTCAGTGAAAATGTATTTTGGATACTAAAGTGGCTTAAGTCTCCTTTACCAAATGTAAGGGAGGAATTGAAAAGAAGGTATTTTTCCAATCACAGTGTTTATGTAGTGGTGTTTCTATTTTCGTTTACAAACATGGAAAACAGAGTATTTGAGGCAGCTCTAGTACAAATGTGATAATATATTGCTAAATATTCTAGACATTATTGCGCTATTATAGTGGGGCTGAAAAACAACACAGCTTTCCGTAGAATTGTACACAGTGCCAAAATGATGTGAAATGCTTATGCTATGTATACCTATAAATTAATACAGAGTATGTTAAAAGCAAAAAGATGTATATGTGCCTATTTTTCTAAAGAAATATATTCTTCATCTTTCATTACATTCGTATTGTCTCCTGCTCATTCCATGTTTTTTCTTTTCTTTTTTTTTTTTCCTTCATTTCAGTCATGGGCTGCTAACATTCCATTTAGTTTGCGTTGCAGGAGAGGGAAAGATAATCCAAAAGTATAGGTTAGAAAACCATGTGCAAAAACATTGAGATTATTGTCTTTGTCAGCGTAATCATCTTCCATCTTCAGTTTGACTATAAACTCCAAAGTACAGCTCTCATTCCCTTGATAATACAAAAACCACACAGAACCTTTGATCTATATTGCATAAGTTTGGGAAGCAAAGAAATCTAGGGCAAAAAGTATCAAATCCTTTTATTGTTCTTGACTTTTTTTTTTTTTCATTATTCTGGGACCAAACTTGAAACTGTCCAACATCACATCAGATCATTAAAATTGTTAATCACTGATTTTTACTACAGTTTGGGAGAGAGACTAAGGCAGGATAAAAGGCAACTAATTAAATGTCATTAAAATATATAAAGGCCACCATTGGAAAGGTTTTCAGATCTGGAAAGCATGAAATGGAAAGATGAGGATGAAATTAGAACTGTGACAGACTAATAAAGGGGGACAGGAGCCGTTTGTAGGTTCTGTGCACTGTTCAAGTACATCCTCATGAGAGCTGGAGAACTTTTTCAGAAAAGATACATAAGGGCTATATCTTCCCTTTGTGTCCCAGGAGGCAATATAGATAGGTATTATTACCCTTGTGGTCTTGAAAAACAAAAGTAATTTTCCATCATACCATAAAATCTGATTCTTCCAGCAGGCAACCTGAACTCAGGTGGTCAGCTGCCCACCTGCTTTGATCCCTGCAACAAAATGATCCCAAATAGGACTTTGGGTACACACAGATATCATCGTTCTTGAAAGAGGGAAAGATGTTGAGAAAGAAATGACAGAAATGCTATTATTGTCATGGAGCTCCAGCCTTTCTCATTCATTCCTTCATTCGTTATCATTGATTTAACAGGCATTTCACACACCTTCCATTTAGCTCTACAACAAATATTTACTTATCATAGTTATCATGGCAAAGATTCTTTGCAGTGGTTACTGCCTCTCTACTGTGTCAATGGTACATATCAAAACCTGCCAAGTCAACCATGACCCTAAAACCACAACCATGGATGTCTTTGGGGTGGGAGAACAATGGGACAAATGTGGTTGGAACTGGTAGCTTAATGTGACCTTTCTTCCTTATTAGTGCGGGGCAGGACAGCTCAAGATACAAGAAACATTCTCAGAATAGATCTCTGCATAAATACTTGCCAAGGACTCATTTTCTTAAGAACCAGGTCTAAAACAGTGATTCTTCCATTGACTAGACTTCTTACCAAGGAGTTAACACTTCAGAGTTTCAAATAAGGTTATTCATGAAGAGGGGATATCAGAAGCCATATTTAGAAAAGCAATCAGGTAAACTCAGAAGGAAGCTCCATTTGTTATTTTGAGAGAGGAGACAAGATGCCTCACTCCTAGCTTAAGCTTACATATAGTTGATTTTACTGAACTAATCCATAGATACCTTGTGTGTGTGCAGTGGCAGGGGGGAGAGGGGTTAACAATAACTAGAACCATAAAAGAAAGAATGGTAATGTGTGCTTGTGAGAGTCAAGCAACATAGAAAACCCACATTTGAAAATTAAGAACTATCTTTCTGATTATTTTTGTTCTTCTAGACATAGAATTTACATTTGTTTAATACCTATGAATAATACAAAGCCTCAACGGAGAGAAAGTACAGTTTAACTTGGGAAGATTTTCTAATATCATATCTTCCCCCATTGGGATTAGTGAGCATCTCTGAAAGATTTCAGAGATTTTGCTATTATCTTAAACATTGACCAGCCAGTCTCTTAGGTCACTGATCAGTGTCCTTTCCCACCCCCCTCCCAGAAATTCAATGCCTTCTCTCTAACTTTCCAGAAATGCTTCCACTGAGATTCAAACTGTGCCCTAGCTCTCAGCCGACTGACCAGCAATGCCATTGCATGTCCCTGTAACCTCCTCTACTGAAGAGACTTCTTATTTTATTTTAATTTGGAGAAATTGCTTCCAAATAAAATCTCAGAGTATTACAAGTGAAGTGCTGAATAGAAATTCAGTAAAACCAGTTGAGACGTCTTTAATTAGGAAAGGGAAAAAAATATATACATTCAGAATATATCAGGAAATCTGTCTCCATCCACTCCTGCCATACTGGCCAATCAAAGCTAGTGTACTGGTCTCACACTGCACCTAAACATACACCCAGCTGCAAACTCTTGAAATGTGTGCACAGCAGGATGGGTGGTTACTCCCAGGGCTGCAAGCATTTCCCTGTTGTGTCCATGCATTACAGCTTCTGCATGCTGTCATCACAAGAGATTATTGTCATGGGGACTTAATGTTATGGGGAACATCCCTTGCATAGAGACGATTTAAAAAGAAAAGAAGAAAAGAGCACCGGCTAGGTGGCTCAGTCAGTTGTGTTCACTCGGTTGAGCATCCAACTCTTGATTTCTGCTCAGGTCATGATCCCAGGGTTGTGGGATCAAGCCCTGCATCTGAGACTCAGTGCGGAGCCTGTCTGAGATTTTCTCTCTGTCTCCCTCTGCCCCTCTCCTCTGCTCACATGGATTCTCTGTCTCTCTCTCAAATAAATAAAATGAAAAGGGGGAGGGCAGGGGAGGGGAGGAGGGAGGGGGGGAGGGCGAGGAGGAGGAGGAGGAGGAGGAAAGAAAGGAACACCAAACACTGAAAAACTATAGTCAATATAAATAGACTTATGGGGTGCCTGGGTGGCTCAGTCAGTTGAGTGTCCAACTCTTGATTGTGGCTGAAATCATGATCTCACGGTTCGTGGGATCAAGCCCTGCGATGGGCTCTGTGCTGACAGCACAGGGCTTGCTTGGGATTCTCAACTCTCTCCCCCTTTTTGCCTGTCCCTTGCTCACGTGCACTCCCTCTCAAAAAAAAAAAAAAAAAATAGACTTACAGACATTAGATTACCTACTCTTTGTAACAACTGAACCTGTTTTTTCCAACCCCATTTTATTGATGAGAAAACTAAGTGAAAGAGAAGTTAAATAATGCATCCACCTCAGTCACACAATTAGTAAGTGGCCAGGCTAGGATTTGAATCAAGAGTGCCCAGTGCCTTTCCTTTTTAAAT